ACCATGCATGGTAGCCATGATGCAAGGGGTGGCACCCATCGAAGCGGAACAACGATTGGACCGCGACCAATGCTGTTCTAGATTCATATTTTACTTACTCAGATTTTTTTGTCATCAGTTGCTGTTTTAATTATTATAATTTGTGGAGAATGAGTCTGCAATTTTATCGATAGATCATGTTAATTAGTGCGACTAATGTTTTTATTCTGATTCGTGTAGTTATCGATTTAATTAAGAAAACAATGAGATTATTGACCATAATACATATTTTGTTATTTCATAGCTTACAGAGACTAAACCATTTGCTACAAAAAAAAAAACAAGAGAGTAATTAAAAAAAATTTAAATAAATAATTTGAGTCTTAAGTCTTATCTATGCAGGGAATTCAAAAGGCATTTTTTTTTTAATTATATTGTGTGACCTACACTGGTTTTGGACTATTGTGATAGTTTGCAGACGTCATACTGAGTTATGCATATTGCACGTCAATATTGTAAACCTGTGCATTTAGTTGACCTAGTATTTAATACTTTAGGTAACTTAGACTCTCGAGGAACATTATGCCAGCTCAAAAGTAAGAAATAAGTATTATTGAGTACATAATCTATCTACATAAATAAAAATGAATTTCCGTCCGTTAGTCTCGCTCAAATTCGAAAACGGCTGAACCGATTTGGCTTACTTTGACCTTGAAATGTTTGTGAAAATCCAAGGAAGGTTTAAAAGGTGAGAAAGTAGTTTTAAGGAGATACGGAGTTTGCCGGGTCAGCTAGTATTATAAACATTAACTTATAACAAGGCAACAACTAACCACAATTACGTTTGCATTAACTTAACTCGTTGAGTACCGTCGTTATTAAAAAAAGAAAAAAAAAAAAAAGACACAACTGAAGAACAATAGGTTGCGGTCACCGGTGTCCTCGCGTGTTTGACAGTTTAAACATATCCTAAGGACCATAAGATTCCTAAATTCAGGACAAATGCTCCTACACATACCTAAACATCATATAACTATCTTATACACCTAACCTCATCTCATCTTGATCCACAAACGCCACTAGTGCCATCTAGCGGGTAACGGGAGAGATACACAGTGTAATTGTAACTAACTAGTGCGTCTGCGTCGATCAGTGGACAGGAAAATTATAATAACTGTCTCTTTTGGGTTCCTTACACTTAACTGTATAAAAATGGGTGAGTAGATATCTAGAATTAAAATTATGTGATCTGCTTTGGCAAACAATAAAAAGGAACCCTCTCATTATCCACCCTCCTAAATTCATATTATAAAACGCTCCATTATGATGAGAAAATAAAACATTATATTTTTTATTTATCCTATAGATAGACCTATCAGACTGAACTATTATTTAATTAAAAACCTGTATCTAAACATTAACATTTGATACACAATGTTCAGTCGATACTGGTCGGCGTCATCATGATCTTATCGTGCATAATTGCAGTGATATTACTGACGTAGCTACTGATAGTACTGAGATAAATATGAGATGAATATACAGTGTACATGGTGTTATTAGGGATGGTAATGATAGGAAGTAAGTTTCAGTTTAAGTAATATCTGTTTTTCAGTAGTATAAGTGTGGGAGAACCATGCTTCGGCATTCGATTCATCATGTTTATAGCGCGGTAATGCTTCTACTAAAGAAAGACTATGTTCTTAATAAAATGCAAGTTTCGGTTCTCCGACTTCTGAGCAAACATTTTGGACACTATAGTCTCCAAAGTTAAGTTTTTCGGCGATAAGTGTGTGTGCGTGAGACTGAGATGTCTGAATGCGGAAAACCTACAGATTGGTAACACCTGTATAGCACTGAAAACAAATGCATGCTAATCATGGCATTTAACGTAAATCAACCAACATCTGATTTAACAACAAAGATAAAAACGATGCAAGAAAGCCTCGAAGTAAACCAGTGTCTTCAGTTGATTTGTTTCTATAACCCAGTAAAGATTAACAGATAAAATAAAAGCATTGTAATAATTAACATTAAAAAAGTAGACATGAATCCAGACAATTAACCTTGCCTGGTTTTTTGCCTAGCGTGTTCAAGAAGCCTCTTGGAGGTTGCGTGTGCGCAAGGTCGCAGATGAGACGAACAACTTTATTGAAATTCATTATTTTTGTATAATTTTGTGTATGATTTTAACTTAACAAAATTTTGGTTATTAGGATTAGGTAGGTTGTGGTGAAAAAGGTAGGATTTACATATTTTTAAATACCATCACATAAACTGAATTAACTTCAGGTTGGTAAAAAAATTGTTTCTGGAGTATTCTATTTTATTATGTTGGTATCTATGTGCACATATTACCAATTACACAAAAAAAACAATCAATCAAAACCATAATTTTCAACACCCACAAAAACCAAAAGAACTTTGAACCACGCACATAAATATTTTACGAAAAAAGAAAAATAGACACAATTATGGCCACATATGTAAACAATATAATTGCGCAGAAATATTACTTTTTTCTTACATGCAATTATAATTGATGACTCAAGCAATCATTGAACAATTGCTGTTCTATGACGTCACAAAATGGCGTCAGGGATTGCCCAAGACACAATTAAAACTATAAATCACTAAGCTAATTGTTTATCAAAGCATTCATAACTATATTGCAATTAAAATACGAATGATAATCGTGTGTAGGAATCTTTTGTTAGTGCCTATATGATTTTGCGTGTCAAGTCTTAGATGAATAATTACAATTCAAGTATTCAATAATGAACGATAGATTGACTTATTTAAATTATATTAATCGAGGAATTTATATTGATGGGTTGTTTACAGAATGGCTAAAGGCTGAAAATTATTACTTTTAATTTTCATTATCACCATCATCACAGCCCGTAACCATTCTATGTTGGTCATCTAAGAGGATTTGGCCGTAATCTCCCCGTTTTGCAGGCTGGTTTGGAACCGCAGTCCAAAAGGTTCATAACTAAGTTTAATTGTCCACGACCGTACAATTTCTTAAATTAACTTCACCATGCATATCTAGCGCTTTCCGATTTGCACTTCATTAAGGAAATAGTTCAAAGAATGGCCATTACACACTCTTGTATAATAACTAAGGAAGATATTCAAACCCCGTACTATCTAGATAGCCTGCCAATATCCATGATATCGAACCGATCTCTGAACGCGGAAGAGACGTGAATGAATTAATAATGAAAACCACTACATTTAAAAGACGTGGCTTATATTTGCATAATTTTTATTATCTACTTTATTATTCATAGCCTAATTGAAATAGATAGGCGTTCGAAGACTGAATGTCTAGTAAAAAGTTCAGATGTCCGATTCTAAATTGCATAGGTATCCGTGAAATGATGTTAATATTTGATATGCATTGTGAGTGGAGATCCCGCACAAACCTGGGACAAAGTGCAGATATTTTTTAAATATTCCACGAATCAGAAGAATAATGATTTCTAAAATCCAAAATAGTGCGATCTCAAATGGACAAGTCTAAACCTGAAATCAGAATGAGTGAGAAATAGAGCAAAGCCAATTTAGTTAATTATTATCCATCCATAGGTCATATAATCATGTTAAGGATAACGAAGATCTAGCCGGCAGCAGTATATCATACTAGACTTCCAATTAAAACAAAATGCTAGTTACAAAGCCTAGTGCCGACGTCCAGCGTCATAGCAAACTTAATTAAAATACCATAGAAGATTGAATGGAGGCACAAACATTTTTGAATGCTTGGCATTTTACAAGAATCCTAGGTCAGGTAAAATTATGCTCACAGAATAAGATTTAGAATTCTTATTGTCCGTCTTGTATCTATGTGTAAAATGAAGATTGAATTGGTTTTGTCAGTAAAACATTGACATTTCTTCAAATAAATGAACCTTTAATTGAAAAACAATGGCTAAGCTATGCTTCATTATTATCTGATGATGTGGATGTTCACAACAGAACATAAGACTAAAGACATCTAGAACGAATAATTAGTGTTCATATGAACTGACTAACTTTATGTCATGTTGGCTAACAAAAGCGCCTGTAATCTTTGACATTCCTGCAGAAGCTTGCTCAAAAACCACACAACTACAATAGATTAATCTAAACCAAAAACATTAACAAAGGTATTAAGCCCAAAACTACTCGGAATACATCATTAAAATCCCCTGGAACTCCCATCACAATCTCAAAAGACACACTTGGGACTTGTAATATCAAAATTAAGAGGTGTAATCAAGACGTTGTAGTTGAGACTGTATCTCTGTAACCTGATCTCAATGGTATATGTTCAGATTGTTCAGTGTCCAGTTAAGTTGAGTGTCGGCCTTGGACTGTATTGTCATTGCAATCATTTCCTACCTCCTTCACTTTCTAAGACAACTGTTTTTATCAATCAATCAATTTGGAATTACTTTTAAGTTCGTCTTTTTTGCTTCGATTAGTTGTATTAAGTTTATGCGTTAAATTGGTTCTAAAATAAATATAATTATAATATGTTGTAGGGTAAGGGTTTATTGACAGAATAAAGAATGTTAATTTAAACTGATTTCCTAAAACTTTTTACTTTACCCGGATCTAACTCAAATATCGTGATCTATCAAATCAAATCTTGAAATTTAAAAAAGAAAATTACACCTCCATTCACGAACTACTACTAATCCGAACTATTAAACTCTTCACAAAAAGTGGGGAAATATTTACTGCAAAGATTCATTCAAATCCGTTTCAATTTTTAAATAATTTATGCAAAACGATGGATATGCTGTTGTTCCAAGCCAGTTATTTCATCTGGCATTACAATTATCAAAATAATAACTCAATCAGTCTGCTCTTTTTTTCAATAAAACATACGCTATGAAATTTTATTAAGATCATAATGCGATTCTATGAATCTTTTTTTCCTAACAAATTATTGCAATTAACCTAAATCCTTTTTCAAGACGAGTAGATTTATATATTTCTATTTCAATGATCTATGATCTAAAACTCACCGGTTCTCTCCTGGTCCAAGCTTATTGTTCTCGACGATGGCAGTAGCTCTGATCCTATGGTCAGGCTGTTCCCCAATCAGTTTCTCACTCCTGCCGTTATTGAGGTGCTCCCTAGCCACACTATACGCGTCACTAATATCCCTATCCACAACCACTCCACTATCACTTTCACAAACCACTTTAACCTTTTCACTCGCGTCAACTTCGTGTTTCTCCGGTTCCACTTTATCTTCTTCTTTTATTATGTCTTTCTCTTTCTTTTTGTCGATTCCGTTAGCTATGACTGGGGCTGGCTTCGCCTGGAGGGATTTGGGTTGGGCTTTCGGGGAGGATATGGTGGGCTTGCTCTCGATCGCTCCGTTCTCGTTGATCGATGTGACGTAGACGGTCGAGTTTGCTATGTAGCCGTTTAGCTCTTGTCTGTTTTCTGGCTGAGTTCGTTTTCTGCGATTTAGCTGGAACAAAGATAAAATATATTTGAAATATAGCAACTGTATTTCCAGTGGCAGTACCTATTAAAATAGCAAACAATAAGTCAATTTACGCACAGTGAATCCCTATTGTTCCAAAGCATATAGCTTTATTGAACTACTGATGCAGGGCCACATAAGATAATTAATCCGGCGACAATGTCATCTTGACCCGATTACAACACAAATTAGATAGTGTAATTGAATGCCGTTGTCTGCAAACAGAACATGCCATATTGATGGTATCGTAACTTAATTAACTGTACATAATACTAGCATAATGACGTTCATTGGGTAAATTAAAGGGTAGGCAGAGGTACACATATACAATAGACAAGACTCATCATCATCATCAGCCTGCATTCGTCCACTGCTGGACATAGGCCTCTCCAAGACTCACTTTTCACCAATCTTCTATATATATAAAGGAAAGTCGTGTTAGTTACACTATTTATAACTCAAGAACAACTAAATCGATTTGGATAAAAATTAGTGAGGAGGTAGATTAGAAGCAGAAGACGGACATAGGATACTTTATATACGACTAGCGACCCGCCCCGGCTTCGCACGGGTGCAATATGCATGATATAAACCTTCCTTAAGAATCACTCTATCTATTAAAAAAACCGCATCAAAATCCGTTGCGTAGTTTTAAAGATCTAAGCATACATACGGACATACAGCGAAAGCGACTTTGTTTTATACTATGTATTGAAATATCCAATCCTTTTTTTTACTTTTACCGAAAATCACGAACGGGAACGGGGAAAATGGGATTGCGCGTACGAAGTCGCGCGCAGAAGCTAGTTATGTATATGTATATCTCAAAAAATATTTATACACAGCTTTCAGCTTTTTCTGTTCTGGGCTGGACGTAATTTTAGTATAAGCTAGCAGTGTGAAATTCTCAAGTAATTTTACGTAATAACTATACTGAATCGAGTTCAGAACAACAATGCAACCGTATTAATGAAACCAATTCTATTCAAAAACATTTCAATTTTGACAGACCTCGAGAAAAGTCAGAACAGTTTCAATTTACTATTAGCGGTACAATGTCAAGGCACACGAGAGGTATCTGACCTTATTGTCTGTTACAAGTCATAATAATTGTATTCATTTTATCTGAAGCTATAAAGTCTCATTTGATTTAGAATGCAGTACTTGTAGGTAGTCAAGGTTTATATTATACTACTTTATGAAATTTTCTAAATCCACATCTCTTGTAAAAGCGAAATGAGTACCTAACTTATTTATCTTGTGAGTAAAATATTGCATTCAGATTTTGCGACAACAATCATAGGGTAAGTATCTTACCCGAAAAGATTTTCATTTCACGTTACCCTATTACTGCCTCGTTGGCCGAATGGTCGTAAGTCCGACTGCTGGGCAAGGGGTCTCGGGTTCGATTCCCGAGTCGGGCAAAGTATTACTGGGTTTTTTAAATATTCTCAGTAGTAGAACGGAGTCTGCAAGTTGTGCCCGGTATATGGCAATAGGCTCACCCCCTTTTACATGGAACTCACAAAATAAATAGTGAAAAGTAGGTGTTACATTGTACAGTGATATAATGTGCACCTCTGCCTATCCCTTCGGGGATAAAAGGCGTGATGTTATGTTATGTTATGTTATGTTACCCTATTATATCTTTCGTCTTCTAGACGAGTATACACTGAAACACTAGAAATTACGATGTCCTAAAGTGTCTATACTAAACCCCAAAAATGTTAAGGTCAATACGGAAAACTGTTCACTTCAATGCTGCAACTAATAGGCCACCAAGACAGCCTTACAATCTTAATACCTCTACATATTCCTCTATAATCTGTATGTATGTGTATCACACGGTATGCGAACCCATCCAATGTTGAAACCATCACAGCCACTTATCGCCGTTCGCAGCACATTTAACACGAATACTCGAGTGTAGGTTTCCGTACCGCGTCAAGATGGTGATAAAAAACGTAAACGTGCTGTACTGAGAAGATAATCACAGGCAGTATCAGGAACAAAACACTAGTGAGTGAAGAAGAAATCGATATAAGTACCTACTTATTTAAAAGTCAATCAATGTATCAAGACGATTTACTATATGTTGGGTATCGTTCAAATTATCTTTTTTTTTTAACTTTGTCCCCACACTAGGATTTTCTTCTGTGTCGTGGGTGCGTTTACAAACATATAATTTCATATACACATGACACCCAGACCCAGAACAACATCCTGTGGATCACACAAAGAGTTGTTCCATGCGGGAATCGAACCCGTGACACGTTGCGCGGTAGCTACTTGCCCAGCCACCGCACTAACCGTGCAGTCTTATACTAAGTTCTGATAATTGATTTTGTAGCTACTAAAGTACCTACTGCAGAAAAATTGGTTGGTACTTCCGAATTTGAGTACGAAATCTAGAAATGCTCCCTAAATAGAAACTTGTCTGTTGTACTAAATAATAATATACCTAAATAGCATGCAAAAGTAGTCACGGAGACTTCAACCAATCTCATTTCGGAAACACACAATTACTCCTTGTAGACCTTAAAAAAATAGAGACATTTAATAAAAATTGCAAAAACCCTAACAAAAGAGGAAAGCTATCAAGCTGAACCATCTCATAACGCACACCAGATGACTGTGTCATGGTTTTTTATGAAAAATGTTAATGGTACCAAACAATATGTCACCCCGGTGTGCCTCGGCCCCAATTAGCGTAAAAACTCCACTTGACTTTAGGAACATTTAAAAACGTGATGCAACAAGTGGGCCCTTGATGGCATTTTATACTAAAGCTAATCATTTTGTGAGAAACATTGTTTTTTGCCAAAACTATTTTTCATATTTTTTAATAATAACATTTGTGGGCTTAGTCTTGATAAAAGTTAGTTCTTGAGGCTATTATTTAGTCATTAATTTCAATCTGAAAGAAATATCACAGGATTAAATAATACATTGTAATTGACTGCCTCATTGGCCGAGTGGTCGCAAGTGCGACTGCCGGGCAAGGAGTCTCGGGTTCGATTCCCGGGTCGGGCAAAGTATTACTGGGTTTTTAAAAAAAATCTCAGTATTAGCAAGGAGTCTAGAATTGTGCCCAGTATTTGGCAATAAGCTCACGCCCTATTACATGGGACTCATAACATAAATAGTGAAAAGTGGGTGTTACATTGTACAGTGGCATAATGTGCACATCTACCTACCCCTTCGGGAATAAAAGGCGTGATGTTGTTATGTTGTAAAAATGGTGATATAAATGTGTTTAATGTGTCCCATCTTATTAAGATTATTTATATTTGTATCTTTTTCTTAATTGAGCTTAATAAACTTTGTTGACTAAATTCTATTTGCTCGTCACAATTAACAGAAAACTAAAAATAGTTCTACATTAGGACATGAATTGAGTAATTGTTTTATCCATTAACCATATCAATTGGTTTTCCCGGTTCAAGAGCAAAAGATCAAGCAAGTAATTGCTACAATTGATTTCATTGATATAAAACTATGTTCAAACATTAAAATCATGAGTAAGAAGGACGAAGAGAATAGCTCAAAATCTCAGTCTGCACGAGCACATAAGGCAGAAGATAGTTCACTAAATATGCAACTGAACAGATTTCAAATAGTAAATCGAGATGTTAAAAAGAAGTTGAAAATAACCGAGAAAAATCTAAATACGATTCGCATTTTCCATTGGACGATGAAGCTGAAAAAGAGATTCTTTCACCTGTTTTAACAGCAAATGTTATTGAAATAATCAGAAGCGAGCGAGTGAATCAAGTGCGCTCCACTGCGAATGGAAGTAACGAATCGTCCGGAGATGACGGTACAAACCGTCTGAGGCGTGGGTCAAGTCACAGGCGAAACATGAAATAAAACAATGTTTTAACTCAGAAATCGGGAGTGGCAAATAGCGTTACAAAATCATTAGATACATCTTCTTATATTATTTGTATATTTTATATTCAACTAAGATACTACACGGAAAACACTATTCCATTTTCTTTCAACAATGTTCTATATGTCATTGTGTATCCTACACAGCCCGCTGTACCATTTCTCTTGGACCGGAATCAAGTGGCGTTGTGAAGTGTGCGTTGTTGGTCTATGCAGGCCAGCTCACTTGCGCATTGTCCTGGCTAATCTATTGTCCGTGCTCCTCATATCTTGGAACGTACGCTGTGGAAACTAACTTGGGCCATCGAGTCGAGTGGCTTCGTCGTCGAGTGGACTGGAAACTAACCTAGTGGAGCTAGCTGTTCTCATAATATAAGAGAATGTTGTATATATAGTAGTGACTAAATGATGTTGTTCAGGTGTTTTAGTTTATTATAGGTAGAAATTGTTTGTTAATGTCTGATTCGAAGCTTCTATACATTTATACCTAATGGCGGTCTTTTCTAATTATTTGTGTCTGTCGTACGATTTTAGTTAGAGCATAGGAAAACATATCCTTTACGGAACAATCTACCATAGGACTGATTAAAAGTCCTCATAAAGCAGGATCACATTAAAAGAAATGACAATTTGATTATATCTGTGGTATAACAGTACTTCATCTATGGTATAATCCGACTTGAAAGGTAAATAAGTCAAGTGGGATTGTCGAGTAGACTTGACGAGTGATTCGCTTTCTTTATCCTGGTAATCATGTATATTCCCAGTGATCGCAAAAGCAGTCTCTGGTTTATTTTCTGGTCGATAAAGCTTTGTTAGCGTATAAAGTTTGGAATTGGGCCCAGTATGTAGCGATAAGTATACCTCTAGATAGTTAGGTTGGAGCCGCGGACAACTTTACTGGTTACCGGGTCTCCGGCTCGAAGCGGGACTAAGAACGGAGTGGTTTTCAGTCAGTAAGAGTCTGACACTCCCTCTCATACCCAAGGCAGGAGAAGTTATTAAAAAAATTTCCTTTATCCATTTAAAAAAAATTGTATAGTTAAGTTTTGCGCATGTTCTACGTGTTTCCCCGCTACATCCTGTGCCTTGTACCAGAGTCGAGTGGCCTCGTGAAGTGGAGTGGTGGACTGAATGCAGGCCGACTGCACTTGTGCCTTTATCCTAATGTATAGTATTTAATGTTATGCGTATAAATAGAAGAAATTCAGGTCTAGTGAGTTAAAGAAAGAATGTAAGAGTAGCAGTATTGAAGTCATTAATTACGTACGAAAAACCGTTTGATCAAAAAAAAACTG